GTGGCTTCATCGACAGCAGATGCTGGCTGTGCAGTAGCTCTTTACTACTGCACAGTACTGTTGTGTGGCACAAAGCAAGATGCAGGGATACTGCACAGTGGTAACAAGCCACTGCGCAGTAGTAAGATGCCACTGCACAGTCAACATTACGAAAAAGCCATTTGGGGATGCTTCTGCTCAGTAACGCTGGTTATTGTGCAGTCATTTATGCAAGTACTAAATGACTGCTAAGTAACCACTGCCACTCTGTCTTTGCAACTGGGAGATCAGATTCTGATAATCTTTTTATTAAATAGCTCCCCACCACCTGTGACTTTGGAAGCATTTAGGCATGAGTTTAGCTTTTTGCATGGCGATTAGCCCCAAAGTCAACTGAATTATGCACTATGTGGTAAGTCTACGCACAAACCTTTGGTGAGATCAGGCCAAATTACGGAAGGGCTTTCTATCAAAGGAGTGATGGAATAATGGGAGTGACTTGTTACAGTCAGTTGTAGTAGCTTTGTGGGCATGGGAGGGGAGGCTGCGGCCAGCCCGGAAACTGGTCCCCACTATGGTTTGATCCACCTGCCAGCCCTGGGTGGCTTAGTGCCTCCAGTCCATCTCCAGGAGACCCTCTCTCCTGGGAGCTCCTTTCCCTGGTGCATGCAGGGGCTACCACTTGCATGGTCAAAGACTGGGCGTGTACTCCCAAGCCCAGCCTCCTTCCAACCATATGACCAGATCTTCTGCATCCAGGGACCAGGTGCAACTAATTGCCTCATTAGCTGCCTGGCCTTTTTAGTCTTTGGCACAGTCCATGTGGGCTGCTTCTCCTTGCTGTACTTTCTGGCCCTGGGGTTCCTATTCTCTAAAACCTTCCTAGTAATAGGGAAGAGGCTGTAATAACATGTCTAAAAAGTAGACATTCCTTATTTTGTCACATGACAGGAGGATATCTACAAAGAAAATTAAAAGGCCATAAAGCCCAAGTACCTATGCATTCAGGATTCAATTTTATATTGCTCCAAACTTTCTGAATGATGTGTACAGCTCCTTCAAAAGACAAGCGTTGATCACCTGAAATTGGGGAGAGAAGAAAAATAACATTTGTCAATATATGTTATTCAGGAGTGTGTGTAAACTCATATATACTGTGTATCATATCAGCGGGAGGGCGAGACACACAGCGGGAGGGCGAGACGCACAGAGTAGAGATAGAGATAGAGAGGTAGATAGAGATAGATACATAGAGATATAGACAGAGAGAGAGAGAGAGATAGTAAAAACCAGATTTCTTATGTCTAAAGTAGATCTTAGAATTAAAAGACTGTAAAGGAAAGTCAACTAGCATTGTATGAAAGAAGATTTGCTTCCAAATGCTGGGTAAAAATATGGAAAGCTGTGCAGATATTGGAGAAGACCATGCTCAATGGCAGCAGAAGTATATTTGCTCCACCAAAAGTATTAATCACAAAAGAAGATTAAATGAGCTGGACCAGTTTATGGAGTGGCTCAGATGACAGAAATGATAGTTTTGAATGGCTGACCGGTTAGAGGGGGTGATATATGGAGTTACACTTGCTACCTCTAGGCTGCAGAGTAGATTACAGGGTCTTACACCTCATGGACTCCAGTGTCCATAGACATGCCTGACCCCACTTCCTGTCCCTACTGCTGGGTTACCCTCCAGATTGTGGGGGCTGGGGGTGTAAGACACCCCATACTCACTGTTCACTAGGGATGCAACTGGCATGTCATTTCCTAGGGGCCACCCTGCCACACCCAGCCCCACCACACCATCCTACCTTAGAAGGTGTATTTTTACATCATACCCCAGGACCATAAACCTCTTCCATCCCCATAGTTACATCCTCTGTACCTCCAAGATGTTAAGTGAACAGCAGCTCCAGCCAGGCTGTATTCTCTTTGGCTTCTTGCAGCAAAACTGCTGGCCCCACTGCTCAAGGCCTGCTCTTATCTTAAGCAGCTGTGCCCTCTTCCCAATCAGGCAGTCTCATGCTGACCATGTGACTCTTCTGATTGAAAGAGCAGTCACCTGGAGGCTGCTCTGTTGCCTGTCCTGGCCCTTAAAGTGGCAGGCACCAAAGTTGCACTGCCACAGAGAGTTTTTTCTTTCTGCTCAGGGTCAGCCCAATCACCACACTTAGGTTCAGAAAGGAATATTACCCCAGGGTCAAATCAGCATGGGCTGTGGGGTTTTGTGCCCTTCTCTGTATGGAGAAGGGGGGCATGTTCCTCTTCCTGAGATCTCTTGAGTGTATTTTTGCTATTTTTTCAGTGACAGGACACTAACAGTTCTAGTCCTCTTTCTTTTTGTGTGACAGGTTAGGGTGCTCTTGGCGTTTTGGGGCAACATGCTTTGTAGTTGTGCAACAGGACTGATTGTGTAGTTTTAGCAATAAGTTAGACAAGGATGAGTCTGCCTCAGGCAGGAGCTTGGACTAGATGTGACCTTTGGACAGCTCTGCCAAGCCCTCCTTTTCTATACTTTTGTATGACTTAAGAGCCTGAAAAACATTTTCTAAGTGATTTAAGACCAGATTCTGAAAGGATGGAGCCTCAACCCAACAGATAAACCAACGGGATCTTAGGTTCCTAAACAAAAGTGAGATACCTAAGTACCACTGTGTATTTAGACCAGCACTTAGGAGTTTATGAGCATGAATAAACCAGGAATGTTTCACTAGTGTCAGTGCTGCAGTCTCAGCAAATTGATTATTCTTCCCATCCCTATCCTTAAGTTTCTTGCCTACTAGAAAACAGTGTGACTGCATTTGCCTTTCCATTTCCCAGTGCATCTTTCTTCTGTCATTCAATTTGGAGCACAATGTATCTGTTGTTTGCAGCCACTCCCTGAAGCTCCTCCCCTGCCATTCCATCCCAAACCTTTTACTGTTCAGCCTCTGTCTCCTGCACTCCACCAACGTTGTTCTTGCCAGTGTCTCCAATGAAACACTGGGGGTGGCAGCTTGCTGTCTACCCTCCTCCTCCTCCTCCAGGGGAGCATACCTCTTGTGCAGTGCCAGGGGAGGAGCAGCTCTAGCCCTGTATGTCCTGGATCCTGAGACAACCATCTTCCAGGTAGCTCCGCGTGGGTAATTTTCACCAGCCTTCTTGTTGCCCATCTTCTCTATTTTCTGTTCTTCTTCCTTCTTTTGGAGAACGGCCTGGCACTAGTCAACGATGTAGTCTTTGTGGGCCCTGATGGTGCATAGCTGATGTACTTCCTCCTCAAGCTCCCGCACCTGGCCCTCCAGAGACTCCACTAGGGAGCACATCCCACAAGTGGCGGTGCCTACATTCCCAGCTGCCAGCAGCCATGGTAGGAAGCCCCACCACAGTCCAGAACCAGGGGCTCCATCTGGGTGGGGGCCAGAGCCATGGGCTCCATCTGGGTGGAGACCTCAGGGGTGGCAGAAAGCTTGAGGTGCAATGAGTCTCCACCATGGCTGAGAGTGAGTCATCTGTACACTACAGAGCACCAAACCAGGGGGAGTATCTTCATCTGGAGTTCTCTTGAGAACTGGCAGAGGTCTGATGTCATAGGACATGGTCATCATGGGTGACTTCAGTTATCCAGACATCTCTTGGGAGGAACACTCGGCAAAGTTGGAGAAATCACATTGCTTCCTGACCTGTATCAAAGAGCTCTACATGCCTCAGGAGGTGCTTGGGCCAAGCAGAGGTAACACTCTCCTAGACTTGGTCTTGGCCAAAGGAGACAATTTGGTGAGCGGTTTGAATATAGAGGGTAACCTGGGTGACAGCAACCATGACACCATCAAAATCACTGTCTGTCACAAGGCAGGCAAATCAGCTAGCAGGGTTGAAGTTTTGGACTTCAAAAAAGCAAATTTCAACAAATTCAGGGCAATAGTGGGGGAAGTGTTGTGGGACCAGAGGGGAAGGTGAAAGGAGTGCACAAAGATGGTCATTTCTCAAGTACACGATCCTTGAAGAACAAAAGAAGTCCATTCCCATGCAGAGGAAAGCTAGAAGAAGGGCTGGAAAGCCTTCTTGGCTTAATAGGGAAATTATGGTCTCCTTGAACAAGAAGAAAGAGGCATGCAAACAATGGAAGCTTGGGACAGTCCTCAAGGAGGACTATACAACAACAGCCTGCACTTGTAGGGAACAGATTACAAAGACTAAGGTGGTGACTGAATTTAAACTAGCAATAGAAATCAAGGACAATAAAAAGTCTGTCTTTAGATATGTAGGGAACAGAAGAAAAACAAATGGAAACGTGGGGCCATTACTTAACAACTCAGGATAGCTGATTACTGATACTCAGGAGAAAACTGAACTCCTGAATGACCACTTCGCTTTGTTATTTCACCGGATAAGGGGAAAATCATGCTAGATAGGGTGTAGAATGGGCATGGTGGGAATGACTGCCTTCCTACTATTGATGTTGAGCTGGTGTGTGATCAGTTCAAAAAGTTAGACATTTATAAGTCAGCAGGACCAGATGAACTTCATCCGAGAGTACTGAAGGAGCTGACCAAAGTTATCATGGGACCTCTGATGAAACTCTTCCAAAACTCAAGATGCTTGGGGGAGGTCCCTGAAGACTGGAAGAAGGCCAAGGTTATGCCCATCTTCAAGAAGGGGAGGAGGGAGGACACGGGCAATTCTAGGCCAATTAGCCTAACTTCTATCCCAGGGAATATCCTAGAAAAATTAATCAAGGAGTCTATGTGTAATACACTTGCAAAGGACATCCAGCGTGGCTTCAGCGCAGACAGGACTTATTTTACCAATCTCATCTCCTATGACCAGGTCACTCACCACATGGATAAGAGGGAGCAGGTCAACATTGTATACCTAGACTTCCAAAAGGCCTTTGATATGGTATTCCATGATGTTTTCATGGGAAAATTGGAGGACTGTGGGCTTAACTGTTTAACAGTTAGGTGGGTAGGAAGCTGGCTGTGAGGTAGGACCCATAGAATCTTAATGAGCATATCTGTGTCATCCTGGCAAAAAGTGGCTAGTTGTTTTCCCTCAGGGGTCAGTGCTTGGCCCAGTGCTTTTCAACATCTTTGTCAGAGATTTGATGTTGGGGTAAAGAGTTCACTGGCCAAGTGTGCAGATGACACCAAGTTATGGGGGAGCATGGTCATGCTTGAAGCTAGGCTGCAGATACAAGACCTGGACAGGTTGGCAAGTTGGGCAGATCGGAACCAGATGAAGTTCAACACTGAGCAGTGTAAAGTGCTCCATCTGGGGATGAATGACCTCCTACACACCTTTGGGCTTGGCAGCAGCAAACTGACTAGCACTACAACTGAAAGGGATCTAGGTGTAATAATAGATCATAGTCCCATCTCTGGTGAGATGAATATGAGCCAGTAGTGCGATGCTTTAGCCAGCAGGGCTAACAATACTCTAGCATGCATCAATCGATGTATCTCATGTAAAACCAAGGAAGTGATTCTTCTGCTGTACTCAGCATTGGTGACACCACAGCTGGAGCCACACTTCAACAAGGGTATGGTAAAGCTTAAGAGAGTGCACAGAAGAGCCACCCGTATGATCAGAGACTTGTAAAGCAAGACATGCAATGAAAGGCTAAGGGACTTGGGCCTGTTCATCCAAAAAAGAGAAGTCTGGAGGGGATTTGGTAGCAGCTTACTGCTATGTCAGGAGAATACATCAAGGGGTCAGAAAACAACTGGTCACCAAAGCACCCCTGGGAAAAGATGGAAGTAATGGCCGCAAACTCCTGGAAGATCATTTTAGTCTTAACATTAGGAAAAACCTCTTCACAGATGGAGAATTCAGACTGAAATAAACTGCCTCCAGAGGTGATGCAATCACCTACCCCAGAGATCTTCAAGAGGAGACTAGACAGACACTTTGCTGGGGTCACCTGATCCCAGTTGTCTTCTTGCCTGGTGCAGGGGGCTAGACCCAATGATGAGTGCAGGGGGGCTGGACCCAATGATTTTGCGAGGTCCCTTCCAACCATTACAATCTATGAATCTATGGTCTTCCTCTTGCAGTTTTACCCTACTTGGGTCTCCATGACACTGACCTCTCCTGATCTAATCATGCCTTCATTGCATCCTTGGAGAAGCTTCAAGATTCCTGTGGGAGTTTCAGAAGGAGCCATCTTTGGCCCATTTCTCTACTTGATCTAAACCTTGCCCCTGGTGTAACATCAGCTACAAACAAATTCACCAAAAATCTCTGTTTTGGTGACTCGCAGATCAACCTCTACTTCAGATTTGTTTCCTTCTTTCTGCACTTCCTGTCATCTCTTTGGTGATGGCCAACTGTCAGCCTGAGGCCAACGTGACTTTTACAATGCTCGTCTCCAGCAATTACACCCCACAACCTCCTGTCTTCATCAGTGCAAATGTCATCAGTTTGACTGCCATTTACACTGGTAACTTCAGCATTGTCTTCAGCTCAGACCTCTCACCACATCATCATATACAAACTGGGTCTAAGGTTTTCAGTGTTTTTTCATGAAATCTCCAAAGTATGGCCTTTTCTGTCGATCCAAAACACTTATACAGAAACCAACATCTTGTATCCTGAGAATTTCTGCTTCCTTTTTCTGTCCGTGAGATACAGTTGTGTCCTGCTGGGATCCACCAATACTGATGCAGCAAAGATAATTTTCTTCACCTACCACTCTAACCACTTCACCCTCTTCTAGCCCTTTCTCCTCTATCACATCAAGCCTAAACTGCTACTCTTCACTCTCAAAACCATTGATGGCCTTTTTCACCCTCTCTCTCTCTCTCTCTCTGCAGTAATTTAGTACTGAGGCATTAACTCTCAAATCCCATCAACCAACAATGTTAGCTATTAGAACCCACTGAGCTCTAAAGGCATTTTTATGTGCGCTCCAGAGTTGATGGGTGGGTCGCTTTAATTAGAGCAGCTCTGAGAGTGGGGGTGCTTTATCTAAAGCTGGAAGGAGCTTTAATTACAGTGCCCCTGCTGCCATTTTGAAGTGCGGGGATGCTAATACATGAGGCACAGAAGATTGCTGGAGCATGCTAATTAGTTTATTTCAAAGTCAGTGTTTTCAATTTCAAACCCACCTTTTCCCAAAGGCCTGACCCAAAGACCTTGAGCAGTATTGTTTCTTGTAAAAAGCCATGGCAGTTCCTTCAATTCTGTAGAACTGCTGAGCAAAAAGGGTAAAACCAATTGTAGAAGGCTTCCAGAAGTGGTAGTGTAGCAGGCTGTTTGTGCTGGAGGATACAGCCCATCTGCAGGCAGCAAGGCTACTGATTGCAGGCCTGCCTAAGAGACCAGAACCAGTTGCAGAGGATAGTTAGCTGGCCCATAGGAAGCTAAAAGGCTCCGAGGAAGATGCACCAGAGAAGAAATGCTGAAAAGTGAGTGGGAGAGTAAGGAACTGAGATAGGGAGTTTACCCTAGGCACAGGGTCTGGGAGAAGACCCAAAGATTCAAGAGTGGAAGCAGCAGCACGACAGCAGAGAAATGAGGCAAAGACAGCCTGAGAAGGAAACTGGAAGTGCAAGAGCAGCAGGAAGCTAGAGACATCATCTCAGGCTGGTGAGGACTCAGGACTCTGAGTGTACCCTGTATGGATGAGGTTAAAGTTGTGTTATTTAGTACTGACTCATGAGTAAGAGGTTTCCTATGATGCAGTGGGCCAAGGAAAAGGAAGAACTGAGTATAGTTGAAGGACTGTAGGGCTGAGTGATTCCCCAGACCCGCTTCACCGGTTCTTTGCTGGAGTGGTATCCAACAATTTGGCTTCACACCCAGATGAATAATAGCACAAGCCCAATCCATAGGCAAGTTCTTATGTGACCAGGCTGGGCCTCCTGACCCTGGATCTCATCCCAGGCTGGCCCAGCCCTTCCATCTAGTACACAGAGCCATCTGATGCAGGCCACAGGGCTCCCCAAAGACTTTTGGCAGCAGAAGAGCACTAATTAAAACTGTCATTGCTCGCCTGACAGATCACATGAGCTGGATTTAGCCTGCAGGCCAGAGGTTGAGTACCCTGCTTTTCTGCACTGGTGAAGTTCTGTGCTGTGCCCATAAAACTCTCTGTTTGCACAGCACCTGCCACTCTGGTGACTTGGGGCATGACCTGGCCTCCTAGAAGCTGTGATAATCAATAGGAGTAACAGCAGTGGTGCAGCAGACTTGTCATAGATGTTGCTCACCTGTGGAACATGCACCTGCCAGAGAAGGAAGAAGAAACTCTCTCCAAATATCAGCCCCTGAGAACTTGCAGCGAAAAGCCTGAAGCAGCATCAACAATTGTGGGGACCCTGGGGACTCTTCCCAAGTCCCTGAAGTGCCCAAGACACTGGCATTTCCATGAGTGGCCAGAATCTTCACTGCAACATCTTAATTGCTATACCTCTCATGGAGTCTGAGCTCACAGCAAGACTGACAAGCCATGAAGAGTGACATCAGCCTACCAGAGTCTCATATGACTTATGGATAATATCAGTAAAGCTGCCATAGGGCTGCTGTATCTGGCCACAGCACAATCCCCTAAGCAAAGGGTGTGGGTGATGGGCAGGGCACACCATGGGGGAAGGCAGCAATGCCTCCCTGGATCTGAGGGGCACCGATTTTTGCCAGCCGGCAACTGAACCCCATTGACACAGACTGAATTTATCCAAAGGGAGAAAAAGTCCCAATAACTCTGGAAGTCTACACTGTACCTGAGATATGAGGCTTCTCCAAGAACTCTCTCACAGAAAACTGTTCCTCTTCATGGTTGCAGTTTTGGTAGAAGTGGATTAAGGTGTGTTGCAGGCTGAGGACATCAGGAAGATGCTGCATATATTGGATGTTCTGGTGCTGAAAGAGAAAATTTGTGGCCTGTTTAACATGAAGTGATGGTTCATTGGAAGACAGAGGGTGCTTTGGGGAAGGGCACAACGTGGGGCTGATAGCCAATGAAGCAGTGGAGATCTCTCTGCCCTGCATCCATAGAAAAGCACAAGTCAGGCATTGGTGGTGTAAGAGTTCTGGTTATGCTAAACTGTAGTCATGCTAAGCTACAGTAAGCTAAGGTGCTGAAAAGGGGCTTGGGAAAAACTGGTCTCATGAGCAGGGGATGACCTAACAAGAAAATAAAAAAATTAAAAAATTCTAATGAGCAAACAGACACTGATACAAAGAAAAGCTAACTAGCATATTATCTGAGGACAATAAATCTTCCTGAGGTTTTGCTGCTGAACACCAATTGGAATAAGTTTTTCTGTGTCACCTTTGGAATCTGGAAGATGGCTCATTTGTGCCAGCCTTCTACGGCACATGCACGAGTGGATCCAGGGGGGTGCAGGGGTGCAATTATACCCTCCTTTCATTTCTGGTCCAGCTAAATTTTTAAACCAACTGGTTGGCAGCAATGACAAAATCAATTTACTTCATGGCCCATTACAATCTACCTGATTCCTTCTAAACCCTTTATAGCAAATATTAATGATCCTCTCTTCTTTTAATATTGATGGTTTATTAACCAAACTACCCTTTCTTCTGCAATTCTGATGTCTGTTAGTTGCTCCTAGTAATCTAGCTCCTATTTCACAGCCCTACAGAATGTTTTTAACTCTAGCTGAAAAGAATAAGTCTGGTCTGAAACTGTTAAGTCATGGGAACATTAACGCAGGGGCCAAAATAACACAGTGAGGCACTGGATACACTGCCAAGATGCTCAAGAAGGCTAGATTTTGTTTTATGAATTTCAAACAGACACCTGCATGTTTTTCTAGTAATAGCAGGACTAATCCAATAACTATTTTCAATTACTTTTGCTTGTTCGTTGTGTTTTTTTATATGCAGTATGAGATAACTAATTAATGTACATTCCAAAAAAAAGTATAATTGTTTTTGCTTTATCATAAATGAGTAATATAGCCCCAGGCACCTGGCATATTAGTAAATTCTCTAGCTTCTTTTTAACTGGAGAGAAAAACATATTGTGTTGTACATGATGTATCACACCACCTGCACCTCCTTTTTCAAAATACTAGATCACCCCCATGAAAACAGCAGCCTCTCTGTCAAAACAGGAGCAATGAGATACCTCCTGAGGAACCACTCTGCACACCTCAGCACAACAGGGGATTGAGGATTCCAAACCCCAAAGTTTTGGGGATTTGTAATAGTAATTATATTAGGTTCAGGGAGCTACAACTCCTTGACCTTAGACAATAGTCTTGAGAGAGCCCTGCATAGGATCTTCTAGGCCAACCCCCTGAGCATTACATCCTGATGACTGCAAACACACACAGAATAATCCAACATCAAAATGGTCATAACCACATGGTTTGGTTGCTGGAAACTGCCCTAAATAAATACAACAGTTTTTGGAGCCACATTACGAGGTACACCTGGAGTAGTTTCTCCTTGTAAAGCTATTGGTTCTTTTTCTTTAAAATTTTAGCAAGAAGCTGAGTAGGGGAAAATAACTCTGAAGTAGGCAAACCAGGTCTGTTTGATTTTTTAGCTAGTTAACATATAGCAGTGGTTTTCCACCTTTTTTCATTTGTGGACTTCTATAAAATTTCAAATGGAGGTGCACATCTCTTTGGAATTCTTGAATGGAAATGCAGTCCCTTTTGAATGGTAAGTTTGGGTATTTACATACTTTGGATTGATCATAGTCATCTTTCATGTGTAGGAAGATGTCCAGTTTTTCTTTGTTTTTTAATTAAAAAATGCACTCCCTCACCTTCCCGTAACTGTTTTTTACCCTCTATATCCTTTATAAGTAATAACAAGTAATACTAGGTAAGCTAAGTTCTTATACTCCCACATAATAATAAGCCCATTTTATATTGTAAATAGTGTTCTATTATGTTTGTACCACTTTTACTGTTTTATATTGTATTATATTATGTTCCTATTATGTTTGGGTTTTTTTTTACTGTTTTATATTGAATTTATATGATTTAGGCCTATGTCTGTAAAGTAATGACAAGTAATGTTGTTTCCATTTTGTATGGCGAGCCTCCATCCTGTGTCCTCTGTCCTGGTGTAACCCATGTTGTAACTGTGACTCATGTCTAACCAGTCTCATGGAAATTGGTTCCTGAATGGATGGGGATGACTGTGGGTGCTTGAGGTACAATGGTAGCAGGCCTCTACTGAATGATCAGCTCAATGACTGGACTATTGCCTTCCATTGACTCCCTCAGGAACCACGGACCCAGAATTTGAAAGACAAAGACCCTACAGAGATCAGCCTATTGCAACACAGACACCTGGACCTGCATATCCTTGCCTGGAGTGCACATGCTCAGTACACCAGGACTGTCCTTGCCTGGACATTTTCCTCCCATAGAAGACACAGTTAGCCCACCCCTATAAAAGGGGTGGTAGAGTGTGACCTCCCTGGGACGCCCTCTCCATCTGGACCAGCACCATGTCACACCACCTATCCACCCAGATGCCCTGCCAGTGATCCCCTCTGGACAACACCTTGCTGTCAAAGACCCCGACTGGTCATTGAGGATTACCTCACAGCCCAGGCTAGGTAGCTATCACCCATCTTCCATCCCCAAGCAAAGGACCTGGACTCTGTTCCTACACACCTTGATGTTAGGGTGACTGTATTTGGATCTTGAGGAGCACTGGCTTTGCAGCTGAATAAAGGCTTTTTTCTGTGTCTCAGCAAAAGCTGCTGGTCACAAGGCAGAATGATATATTAAAATTAACGGACTTTGCAAATGCTTAGGCAAGCAGTTTCTTAACAATGGAATAGTGGGTAGGATATATGGTGTAAGGAGAACAAGATGCAACCCACCAGCTGTCATCAGAAGCAAGACCTTGGAGATGAAGAAGGAGTCAGCAAGAAACCAAAAAGAACTAGCAAGTGACCAGGAGAACCTGAGTTCATGGTCTTACACATGCGCTTTTAGCAGAGAGGCATGTAAATGAATGAAATACAAAGGCAATTCCATGCTAATGAAGTTAACAGTAAACAGAGGCAGAGCTTGAGATAGGAGGAGAAATGGGAAGAGCAGAAGGAGGGACAGAGGTGGAATAAATGTTAATTAGCATGAACCAAAGTGTATAAAGTGTGGAAAAAAACTACTGTTCAATGCAACTCCCTTAGTTCACTGGCTGCGAGTCTGAGAGGGATCTTTGCCCAAAGCTGTCTCCATTCTGAATAAACCTGTTGTGAGCAATGTATGCAAGTGGCATTTGCTCCCTGCTTGCTCTGGCTAATGAATAATGACCCATTAGCGATTAGATCATTGTCTCCCTAGTTATTGGGCACCACAAGGGGTCGGGGTCTAACACTTGACTTCAATACCTCCACCAAGCCTTTTTATCTCCTGCTACCATTCTGTGGGTGTGTATGTGAGTGTTTGTGTGCGTGTACAGGAACCAATTGTGACAGGGGGTCGGACTCGATGATCTATTGAGGTCCCTTCTGACCCTAACATCTATGAATCTATGAATGAATCTAAACTGAAAATTATGTCTGTATGATAAATTGGCTGAAAAGGCTTAATTAGCTGTTGACCTGGATAAGTGGGCCCGTGGACCTCGAGGTACCCAAGGACTGAATACCAGGGTTCTTCCTGGTACCTCTTAGCTTTGATTGGGGATGCCTGACTTCACTGAGCTTTGTGGAAAGAGAAACTTGTCATACATCAGGCATTGGAGGGGACTGTCTATAAGTTGCCAACATGAATTATTCTTGTCTGTCATTGTTTGTCTTGTTACTACGCGTAGTTGTGTTTCTATTAAGTCAATAAACCTTTCTTACCTTTCTACTCCAGACCATGCTCTCAATCCTGAACTCTTCACAGGTGGGTGGGACACCAATAACTTCGTGGGGCTGTGTAGTGTGTTGTCTGTTTAATAAACCTGTTGGGTTTTTGTCTTATTGAACTCCAAACCCTTCTCCTTGATTTTCTGGCTGTCTCCCAGTTTTCTGCCCCTCTGTTTCCAGCCCCAAACTCTCAGCTTTTTGCCTCTTGGTTTCCTGATTGTTTCCTCCTTGCCACTGGGCTTTTCCCCTTGCTTCCATCCCAGCACTAGGTGACCCTGAGTAACCCTGGGGCACTTTAACCTCAAGTAATCCCAGCTTCCCTCCAGTTCTGCCTGTTCTAATCCTGGCCCCAGCAGCTTTCACTCTCTTATTTCCCCCTCTATCATCTTAACCCTCGTCCATCTCCCTTCTTCCCTTCCTTCTGCAAATCTTTGACCCTTGAGTCCCCCTTCCATAGCTACCAAGCAACATAGGTATACCAAGTACCCTAAGCACGCACACACACACACACCACACCACCCAAGTTAGGAACTCATCTGTGTGTATGTGTAGGTGTGTGATATATATCATCGTATGCGAATTATTGATCTGTGTATGTGTATTGGGTGTGTAGCTATTGACAACTGATTTTTGTCTAGTTTTCAGTGCGTCTACTGTGTATGTGCTTGAATTGGTGATAGGTGTGCATGTCCTTAGACTGGCAATCTTGGATGTGTATGTGACTGAGATGGTAGTGTGTGTATCTGTCCTGGGGTTGTGTGTGTGTGCATGTGCCTGGTGTGTGTGTCTGTACCTAACTGATTTCTTTGTGTGTATATATGCAATTGTGTAACACTCTCCCATCTAGCAGTGCAATTTTGAGATCCTGAGAGTTGGCCTGGCCCCACAGGACAACTCATGGATTCCTTAGCTATAGTCTGTGAATTATTAGGTGTCCACACACAGCAGGTTGAAAACCACTGACATTTAGTAAATGCAGTTTAAGATCCATATTAAAATCTCACTTTACTAGGTTTTTTCCCAGCCTAGAGGAGGGGCTTGATGAATCAGGATACCCATGTTGAGTCTTTTCTGTGGTGCAGGTAAGCAATTCTTTCTATTTTGGAGAAACTGCTCATTTTCACATGACTCCACTAGACTCCCTCATGCATTGGAAAGTGGGCTGGATCCATTTCTGAAAGGTTTCTGTGAATGAATGCTTGCAATAGAAAGGAACTGAACTCCATGAACAAGTCCTGTGTTCTTACAGTTCTCAGTGCATCACCGGCTACACGTACACCACAATTTGGGTGCAGTAGATTAGTTTACTTTGGTGTACAACAGTCCTGTCAGACACAGGTACTATCTGACAATAGAGTACTGTAAATAACTGTGCTTGAACACATGTGTAGATGGTGAAATCGGGATTAGATTACTCTGGCACAAATTGCTCTGAAGTTTATTCAGATGCATTAATTGCATGTGTAGATGAATCCACAAACTTTAGTAGCAGCAGCAGCAATATCGACAGCACTACAATAGAGCACATACACACACAGACAATTGCACTGACTATGAAAAGAGAAGAAATATAATGAATACATTGGTGTGTATAGGTGCATCAAGAGGTGTGTGCAAGCAGTGTGAAAATGTTTGTGGTGTCTATGCATATCCATTAATTCAAATATCCACAGACCTTTGACAGAATCTCCAGGAGCACAGGGAATTGATTTGTTCCATTTTCCTGTTGAATCAGATGCGTCAGGTGTTGAACTGTCATCTTCTGTTCAAATTGCCAAATGCAGGGCTTGTTGATCAGCCCAGTGCTTGACAGGTCACTGAAGGGCAGGGTCTGTCCCTCGGCTATTTTCAGAATACTGGAGCTATGAGCTCCCTCTGCAATCTCCTGCTTTGCAGAAGCAAGTTTGTCCTTCAATCCCTGGGAAAGAAAAAAATTCTGTTAAGAGCCCTGTCCTGTCAGAAAGGAGGGGCTGTGTGCCAATCAGTCTGAGGGCTAGATGGGCTTGTGACTATGATACAAGTCTGAATTTTTGGAGATGCGGATTAAAAGCACAGCTCTGCTGCACATTCCTGGATGCTCTCCAAAGAGCTACTTCTCCAGGAGCGAGAAAAGTACTAGCTGGTCGTGTCTGCACATGTGCTATACTGCAGAATAGACTAATAAACTGTAGAGTAAAGCATCACTGCCTACATGTGCAACAAGATTAGGCCACATTGAAATAATTTACACCATAATAAGACAGCATTGCCAGGGACAGTACTATTTTATGCCTTGGTAATTTAACATTACTAAACACACATGTAGAGTGTACACTGTCCTTGGGCATAAACTGTGCCCAGTCAGCAGGGGGCAATACTCCTGCCTGCCACATGGCTTCATGTCTTCAGCACTCTCATGTCCCAGCCAGCCTCTTTGCCACCCAATGCTGCCATCTGGAGCCTGGGGCTAACTCCCATGCCCCTTGCCAACCCATAACCACTTTGCCCTGGCTCAAATTGCTGTTGCCCCAGGCACACATGGGGTGTGACTACATGAGGTGTTTACTATGCAGTCGAGTAATTAGCTTCACAGTAAGCATCTTGCACCAAAACATGCAAAGCTATTAGGCTTGAGTAACCTAATTTACTCCACAGATGGACAGTACAAGTACTATCCTGATGTGGACTAAAAAGCACAACAGAACTGTATGTGTAGACACTGCCTGGGATGGCTGGGGCATGAGGTGCTTCAGTGTAGGGGCTGCCTGCTGGCTATCTCTGTGCTGAAGCACCCTCATGCCCCAGCCAGTACCTCCACAGCATGTGGAGCTGGGAGAAGCAGCCCCACGCTGGCAGGCTGACCCTCCTGGCCCCCTGCCAGGTACAGCTTCTCCAACCCAGCTCCATGTGCTGCACTCCTGGGTGCATGTGCAGATGTGTACCTGGCTTGAATAAACCCCAGAACAGTAAGCTCTGGAGTTTGCATACGTGTTTATATTTATTTACATATTTATATGCACATGTAAACACACCAGCACAGAAGCTGTACCCAGGAATATTTTACTCTGGCTAAATCTTCTCCGGGATTTATTGCTTGGATTAATTCCATGTGTTGATGCACCTGCTCTTCCTTTGGCTTTAGTTACTGGCAAAGCTACTGGGTCTAAACTGACCAAAAAGAAACTGAGGCTGGAAATTACAAGAAAGCGTCTAATCATTACAGCCATGAAGTTCAGGATGGCCTTCCAACAGAGGGAGTGATAGTAAGAAAACTCAGTGGTTCTAAAGTTGGGCATATGTATGAACAGAACTTTGTGGTGTGAGAATTTGTGTTAGCAGGGGACCATTCACAATGAGACAGGAGGTCTATTCTGTCCTGTGTTCCTGGGACTCCAGCCCTTGGCTTCCTATCTCTAGAAAAAGGATGATGATTCTGCCCTGTCTAATTAGGCTGTAAATGATGGATCTAATGAGGCTGTGTTATGCTGGGTCAAAGGGGACCACTCTATTTCTGTGTAACACCGGGTGCATCTACACACGCAATTAGCATGTAGCAATAAACTCTAGTGTAGTTTGCACTGGAGCTGATTGCTTCTGAGTGCAGCATTTACACGTGCACCCAGGACCACAGCACGTTAAGACCTAGCTAGCAGGGGGCCTGGTGGGAGGGGGAGGGTCAGCCTTCCAGCCCGGGGATGATCTGAACTAGTTCAATGTGCTGCTGAGGGGCTGGCTTGGGCACAAGGGTGCTACAGTGTAGGGCTAACCAGCAGGCAACCCCCACAGTATAGCACCTTCATGTCCCAGCCAACCCCAATCGCCCTTTACACATGCATTTTGGCACACATAATTACTCTGCTGTAGGATAATACTTGTCCCAGCCAGAACTATCCTACAGTGGAGTTAATTAATTTCCTGAGCCTTAATATGGGTGCATGTATAGATGGTGACGCTTTACTGTGCAGCTGATTAGTCAGCTGGTGGAGGTGGGGAGGGGGACACTGACTGGGGAGTTTTCTGACCAGAAGGGGTGGGGCTTGATCCATATAAGCCCAGGGCATGAGCTGGTCAAGGCAGTCTTCCCTTCAGTGTCACCGGGAAAAGAGCTTCTGGCAGCAGGGCTCCCGAGACAAATTGCTGAGCTGGGACAAGCAGCACTGAGCCTGGAAGCTGGCCAGGCCTTGGAATAGATAGACCTGGGAGAAGAGGGGCCAGGGGCCCAGTGCCCAAGAGGTCTACAGTGGAATGATATGGTGGTTGTGGAAAGGACTGAAGGGAAGGTAAGGAGGTCCCCTCTGGTCCAGAGGGAAAAATCCTGAGCCCACTGAGAGGCAGAATAAGGGGCCAGGGCAGGCCTTGGAAGACACAGGCCTAGGGATAAGACAGCAAGCGAGTGTGCAAAAGCATGAGAGCCTCAGAAGAACTAGGTACTTGGGGAAAATGTCTAGTACCTGCAGGGGGGAATCAAGAGGGTCTGGAGCCCAGGAGGCCTAGGCATGCCAGACTCAGGTGCTTGGGGAGGGGGACCAGGAGGGACCAGGGAGGACTAGGGTGTGTTAAAGGAATTTCAGTTCCTGGGTCCTGCCAGCAGGCAGAGTTGTGTTAGCAGATCACCTGTGAGGCATGGGAGCAGGTACTGGGGAAGAAGGGGCCCATGAATCTAGTCCCTAACTCAATGACCATGAGCGCCTGTGGTCTTAACAGTAAGACCAGGCTTGGAGCAATCTCCTTTCATCAGAAGTCATTAGCATCAAGATGTGGTGGGTGAGCAAAGGGGAGAGGGCCCCAAGGGGAGACAGGTTAACAAGGACTGAGCGGCCACCAGTGGGCATTGCGACCACACCTGAGAAAAGCACTTGCTACAATGATATATTAGGAAAGTCCCAAATACAGAGGCTTTTCTCCTGTTGAAGGCTTAACAAAATGGACAGGTTTTGGACTGGAAGATGAACAAAACTAAAAATGGTTAATGCTACTGTTTCTGTGTGTGTGTGTGTGTGTGTGTGTGTGTGTATAGACACACACACACACACATACACATATATATAATTCATAATTCTCATGAATGTAAAACTAAGCATCAACGGGAACATTGGGTATAAATGACATTTTAGAAGGGCAGTCTGTGACTAATGGCTTCTAGTATTTCTTTTTTGTTTTTAAGGAGAAAACAAAACTGCTGCATCTATTATCTTTTAAAATAATAATGTATATGATATTTTTGATATTTATTAGGCAGAGAAAACCTGTGCTAACATACCTGAAAAATTGAGTGAGTAAGAGTTTTAAAACAGCTTTCCCAGTTTTTTCTGTCTTCCTTTTCATGCATAGATTTAACAGTCATTTCTTCATCTACAAGAAAGATAAAATTACACTTCAATTTTTGCCATTTAACATGAAAACTTCTTAACTTCACACACACACACTAGCCAATTGCTCATCAGGAATGATGGGGTGGGGGGAGGACAGAGCGTAGCCACTCAGGACCCTGCGCTGCTGCTGCCTCCCAGGAGCGGGGTGGGGGAGGAAGCTGGGGGGAAGCTTGCCCCACCATCCCCTCAGTCCCCCTCAGCCAGCAAACCATGCCACCTCCAGGGATCAAGGCCTGGGGGAAAAAGGGAGAGGCCAGAGGCACTGGCTTGACTCCCTACTCCATCTGCTCCATCGCCATCACCTACAGGGAGCCGGTCTGGAGGCGGGGTGAGGCCAGCATTGCTGGTATTGCCCCCTACTCTGTCCCCTCTGTTCCTGTCATCATGGCAGCATGCAGCAGCCATCTCTTTCTGTCTGGAACGCTCTTGGAGCACTTTGGTTGTATCAGTCAGCATTGTGATTAGCTGCCAAGACAACCAATCACAGTGCAAATAAAGCGTTACAGACAGACAGACTAAGGCTTGTTTCAATGGGTTTGAAGCTTGAAATAGGAAAATTGAAACAAAACCAAAGGCTTCAGAACAGCTTTGAAATGAAACAAGGGTACAGTCCCATCAGTAGCCAGGCTACCAGCGGCACAACGTGGATGGGCATGTGCCACAACCCGAGGATCCCCTCGGGGTTTGCACCCTTCCCTCCCTCTGGAGTCTCAGAGGCCTCCACCCAGATGGAGCCCATGGTTCTGAGCTCCATGCACACGGAACCTCTCGCTCTCAGCTGCAGGGGCTGCCTGTCACTTTTTCAGGCTCTGGGGCCCGGGAGCATAGCCACCTCCCCTTGTGAGGTCTGTTCCCTTTTGGGGTCTCTGGCACACCAGCTGCAAGAGCTCCAGGCTGCAGTCCAGAGACTGTGCGCCATCAGGGATGGTTAGAGGGAGATAGACTCCTATTGCCAGGCCCTTCACCCCCTGGAGGCAGAGGGTAGACCACAGTCACCCTCTAGGACAAGGAAAGACTTGGTGACCTCCCATTCTGTTCAGCCAAGGGGTTGGACCAAGGTGGCCAAGGGCCCCAAGGCCCACCACACCAAGGTCCCTGCCCCGCTGGAGCTTTGCAACAGGTATGAACCTCTTGTAGCCCCAGCAGAGCCTGCTAAATTGCCAGCTCCTGCAGGCAACACAGGCTCAACTGTAGCTACCACCCCCACTCTCCCTAAGACAAAACACAAAGTGTTTGTCATGGGAGACTCCATCCTGAGGGGGACTGAGGGGCAATCTGTCACCCTGACCCCTTAGCCTGAGAAGTCTGCTGCTTCCCGGGAGCCCATATCTGAGACATTGCTGAGAAGATCCCTGAGCTCCTCCAGCCCACTGACCACTACCCTATGCTCCTCATCCATGTGGGCACAAATGACATGGCTCAGATCAATCCCAGCTGGGTCATGAAGCTCTACAGGGATTTGGGAGTGGGGCTTAAAAGGTTGGGGGCACAGGTGGTGTTTTCATCGATCCTCCCAGTTTCAGGCTACAGGCTGAGGAGGGAGAAGAGGATTGAGGTAGTGAACCAAAGACTGTGACACTGGTGTCATCAGGAAGGCTTTGGCTTCCATGACAACAGTCCACTCTTTGGTGAGAGAGGCAGTGAGCTGCTGGGAAGGGACAGCCTCCAGCTCTCTCCACTGGGGAGGAGGCTCTTCTCAGCTAGACTGCTTGACCTAGTCCACCAGGCTTTGAACTGTTCAACAGCTTCATTAATGATGTGGACATTGGTATCAGAAGCAGACTGGCCAAGTTCGCTGATGACTCCAAACTCTGGGGTAAAGCATCCACACCTAAGGACAAGAAGGGTGATCCAGGCTGCCCTGGACAGGCTCAGGAAATGGGTGGATGAGAATCTGATGGTGTTTAACACCGAAAAAATGCAAGGTTCTCCATCTTGCAAAGAAAAACTTGGAACATGCTTATAGGCTCAGCAGTGCTACGCTAGCTAGCACTATAAATGAAAGGGGCTTGAGGGTCACAAATGACCACAAGATGAACATAAACCTTCAATGTGATGCTGCTGCTAGTAAAGTGAGCAACACACTGGCCTGCATCCATAGATGCTTCTCATGATAATCCCAGGACATCATTCTCCAATTGTACTCGGCCTTGGTGAGGCTGCAGCTGGAGTACTGCGTCCAGTTTTGGGCTCCATAGTTCAAAAAGGACTTGGTCAAGCTTGAGAGAGTGCAGAAGAGAGCCCTGCATGTGATCAGAGGTCAGGAAAACAGACCTGTTGATGAGAGGCTGAAAGCCATGGAACTTTTCAACCTAGAAAAGCGCAGGCTCGGGTGATCTGATGGCCACCTATACATTTATTAGGGGTGCTCACCGGGATCTGGGGGAACATCTGTTCACCAGAGTGCCCCAAGGGATGACAAGGTTGAACAGTCACAAGCTCCTCCATGCTTGTTTGAGGCTGGACATCAAGAAGAACTTCTTTATTGTCCAAGCCCCCAAGGTTTGGAATAGACTGCTGCCAGAGGTGGTTCAAGCACCTACTTTGAACTCCTTCAAGAGAAATTTGGATGTTTATCTTGCTGGGATCCTATGATCCCTCCTGACTTCCTGCCCCTGGGGCAGGGGGCTGGACTTGCTGATCTTCCGAGGTCCCTTCCAGCCCTAACATCTATGAATCTATGAAACATTTTGAAAGTTTTGAAATGGTTTTGATTTTCGAAGCAGGGCTGCTACAGATAAACAGAAACTAAGGAGAGGGATGAAGGACTCCTCTAGCTCCCTGTTCGATTCTCCAGCTCTTTGATTACTTCCCTGAGCTCTCTATTCATTTCCCGCAGCTCTTCCTGGGGGTTGCCAAAAACTGCCCCCAATGTCTGTGTGGAGTTTCAGCAGGCTGAACATTTCCCACATCCTGGTCAGATTCCCCAGCTCCCCAATCTTTTCCCAGCTCTCTGATGCCTTCCCCCAGCTCTTCCTGCAAGGCATGGGCCCCCAGATGATATGATATGATACCAGGCTGCCACTGCCAGCTGGGACCAGCACTGGGCACAGCCAGCATTGAGTGTGGGGAAGACTGGTTCTGCTGCTGGTCCCAGCCAGCAGAGGCAGCATGTTGTCATCCTGCATACAGTTTTGGGGGCCCCCATCCCCAGGAGGGCTGTGGGGCTATGCTGGATTCCTCCTAGGGGTGTGGACCCCCAGATCTGCATGTGGGATGACAGGGGCTGCCACTGATGCCTGAGGCCAGCAGCAGCAGCAGTCTTCCCAATCCTGGGCGTGGGCAGGCGGCACCAGCGGCCTCCCATCATCCCACATGCATTATCCAAGGGCATGCACCTCTGGGAGAAGTCTAGCACAGCCTCACAGCCCTCCGCAGATATACGGACAGGATGGTAGGAGGCTGCCACTGCTGGCAAGTGATACAAGTTTTGCTTTCAACTGTTTGAGGTGGAGTTTCACAAAATCCCCTGCACGTATCTCTTTGAAACTTGGCAGGCATCATGCCCTCAGAAGGGGCTACCATCCCTGAAATGTTCATATGAATTCAGGTAAGAAATGACGGCATTATAGGCATTTTCATGATTCCTCATTATAGCCTATGGGTGAACCTTTTAAACCTGTCAAAACAGTGAAACAGTTTCAAAGAAACAAAACAGAACAGTGCTTCAAAATGAAAAAAACAAAACAAAACAAAAAACAACAAAAAAACAAAAACCAAACAATGAAATGAAACACTATCCCTTTAAAACAGAGAACAGAAGTTGAAATTAAAAGGTGCTGTTTCATACAGGGCTAATATATATATAGGTTTATATTATATATATGTTGGATCTGAGAAGAACCACTATGATTACTAACCGGATCTTAAGCATACAAATATGAGGATGGTGCCTTGGTAATCATTTCTTTTCTGGGTTTAGGGTCCCTGTAGTTTCAACATCACATGACAGCTCATGTGCAGCTGACTTCCTCTAGGACCCCTACATCTAGTTCAGGGTGTCTTTTCTCCACAATGCAGTCTCTATCCCCCACAAACCTATCAGTGTGACCCATGCATATTGTACTTGACAGTCAAGCTTTGCATCTGGCTGTGACAAAACACACCTGGTGAAAATTCCCTGTCATACCTGCAGCAACAAAACTGAAGCATTTCTGTACCTTCTGTGCTGTCAAGAAGATATCTGAGAAACAGGTGGACAATGATGGTGGCATCATCTATATTTCTGCCAAGTGACTCTGCTAGGAATGTGATGTCCTTTTCAAGGTGTTCCTGAAAGAATTCTTCTGCAACTTCTGGCTTCTCTTTCATTAGATTCAAAACCGACTGGAAGACAAAGTGTTTCCAGAATTATCTCTAGGGAATCATTTGTCCCACAAGCAAATATAGCCTACACAAAGTTACCATCATAAGTAAGAGCAAGATAACACTAGACAGCACTGTTCAGTAACTGAGGACAGACAGGCATTGAGATAAGACACACTGTAATTTTAATGGGGATGTTTGTGTTCTGACCTGGCGCTCTGTAAAGGTGCCCAGGAGCATGGAAGAATGGAGCAGCACTCTTGCAAGGCAGACCGAGGCTGGAGGCAAGTCCCTCTCTCCTTCTATGCTTCGTGAGCCAGGACTCTCCAGAATGTATCCTCTCTCTATTATATCCTTAGATCTGTGTTAAGAAAGAAAACATAGCTTTAATTGGATGTAGG